AAGGCGTTCGAGCGGAGGCTCCGTTCCCCTTTGAACTCTGAAGCCGCCAGGTCAGTTTCGGCCTCTTGGGGACCGGAGTTCGTGGTGACAGTGGCCCAAGGAGATGATGCCACGTGGTGAGCCGAAGTACACCGGCTGGATTCCGCGGCGGGACCCGGCTCCGTCTGCACTCTGGCTTTTCACTTGGCCCGCGTGTCTGATGAATGCCAGTATGCACGTTAGTGAAACCTGCCTTGACTGTGTGGCTTCTCTTACTCTTGGTTTCCGATTAGCAAACTGCCTTGTGACTATCTTGCTTAGAAGGACCAGGGGCTTGGGGAAGGCGGTTTTAAAAAAAGAAACATTAGCAACTGAGAAACAAATTTCTGCCTGAGCAGGCAGAATAAATGATAAGAAACGAAATGCTGAGGGGGTGGTTAAGTAACCTACAGAAATGGAAACAAAAGAAGGAACAAACCGAAGGAACACAGCAGCCAACCAATTCTGCCTGCACTCAGAAAGACACGATGTCCTCACCATTGGTTAGCTGAACATAACCGACGAGTTCTTTATACTTTGAAACCCCACATAATGTACTGGGGACACTGAAGAGTGTCAGAACAGTGTCACAATACTTACTTGCAGAAGCTGACACTCCGAGACCAGGATTGGACTGTATCACTTCATTTATAGGGTTTTTTTTGTTGTTGGTTGGTTATGAATTTTCCCAAAGTACCTTACCTACAGTGGAAGAGGCAAACCGGCCTTTGAACAGTGAGATACTCTTCCACCATGTTCAAATGAGTCTCACTACACTTTCGGAACACAAGAAAGCCCAGGCTGAGCAGAGGAAGATCTCAATAAAGAGCTCGGCTTGGGCCCCAGCAAAGATGTTTTACTTGTGAAATAAGGAGAGTTCAGGACGCCTTTCTTTGGATACCAGAATGTAGTTCCACTATTTGGCAGACCCCTGGATAAGGGAGGTGATTTGTCTTTAGCCTTGTGAATGACATTAAGTACATTAAGTCAAGACATTATTTATACTATGTGTTTCTATCCCACCTTAGTCCAGAGGCAGGAGGATGGATCATCAGGAGTTTGAAGCAGCCTAAATAGTGAGACCCTGTCTCAGAACAAACAAATTAGTCAAAAGAGGTTATTGAGATGTGTTTGTTTGGCAGTAGTTGATCCTGTGTGTGCTTGTCCGCACTCCATTCTTTTGATAGTTTGTGTTTCAGTTGTTCCAAGTTAACTGCAGTAAGGACACCAAACCCAGCATGTATGGCCTTGGACAGACTTCTAGTTCCAAACCTGATTCACAGTGTCTGCTGCACAGTAGACTGTTAATTCAGGCAGTGAATGGCATCTGTTAAATGTCAGATGCCACCATACTGTCCTTTAGGTTGTACTTTACTAGGAACACAGGAGCCATCTGCCTTGAGTGCCCACATCCAACTCAAAAGTTCTCCTGATTCCCATGCTTCCCTTTCCAGGGGTGGAGCTGAGCCTCTGGCTCCTTCTGTTTCCCTTCTTAACTCCCCTTACACAGTGAAACTAGGTTATTAATCACCCAATACATGGCCACTTTGCACAGCTTTCCCTGGCCCAAACCTTTTAATAGATTCCCTCTCCCCCTCCCCCCCTCAAAAGATGTCAGCATTGCTCCTTCCCCACCCCTCCCCCTTGCTAACTTTTGCCACTAGCCTTTGACTTCCCGGCTAATGGATTTACTCATTTTCCTCAGAATGCCTCAGATCCTCCTTGTAGCCTGTTGTCAGCCATGGTGATTCCCTGGGCCTGACTATCACGTCTGAAAGGCCCAGGTTAACATCTGATATGGGATGTCCGTCTATGTGCTGTGAATATGTGTTTTTATTGGTTGACAAAAAAGCTGTTTCGGCCAATGGCCAGACGGAATATAACTAGGCAGGAAACCCAAACAGAGTTATGGAGGTGAGAAAGAAGGCAGAGCAGGGGAGACGCCATGTAGTTGCCAAAAGAGTAAGATGTCAGAACATTATTAGCCTCTGAGTGATTCTTTCATAAGTGGCCTCAGGGATCTTCGAGTGAGGAACTGGTCCAGGGACCAGTGGGACAGAGAAAAACATTCAACTATAAACATCCTTCTCCTACATGGCTTGTGTCCACCTACCCTGGCTCAGTGGGCCTACCCTCTGAACGTCACTAGCAGTCTCTGGATTTAACACTTGCCTAGCCCATGAAACTTGGGAAGATTTAGAGCAAATTTGGGTCTTCAATCTGATACACATTTTTGACGGCAAGGACTTTGTCTTCTGTTTGTTCCTCTAGGGAGTTTCCATAAAATCTGGAACTATGATTTATCTTGTTTGTCCACAGACTGAAATGTCCTTGCTCACATTGTATGCACTATCTGCACCTGGTGGGCATCATTTATTTCTATTCTGTGGAGCTACAACATCCTCACACATCGTAGCCATTCAGATAGGTGAAGTTCATCTTTGTGAAACTCCATTATGTGGTGGCCTAGCAATGAAGGGGAAAATATGCAATGGCAGGATTTAGGAAGACAAGATGATGTTAAAAAAAAAATACTGGGCCCTCTTCTGAAAAATCCATATTACCTCTCTTTTAGTACTGGCATCCTAGAATAACTTTTCTGTTTTAACTCTATTCCCAGGCTCTGCTGTCAGCCTTTTCTTGTCTTGAAAGGATTTCCACTGGTAGATGTATCCATAGCCCTTCCTACACTTTTGATTCCACTCCTGACAACGGGCTTGAGGGGCAAGAACTATGTCTTAACTCATACACCACAGCATGTACTGTCCAGTATTTATTTATTTATCGTGCCATGTGTATGATGTGTGCTGCACTCAGCTTGCACATGCGTGAAGCTCAGGGAATAACTGTAGAATCACTTCTCCCCTTCCACCTTTACATGAGTTCTGGGGACTGGTAGATCAAAGGCTACAAGTTCCTTCACTCACTGAGTCAACTCATTGGCCCACAGTCAGTATTCAATAGATGCTTTTGTTTTTCTGTTTGTTTTTGAGAGAGGGTTTCTCTGTGTAACAGCCCTAGCTGTCCGGGATCTAGCTCTGTAGACCAGGCTGGCCTTGAACTCAGAGATCCATCTGCCTCTGCCTCCCTTCCCTGCCTGGGGATTAAAGGTGTGCCCCCCTTCCCTGCCTGGCTTAATAAATGCTGCTGAGTTAACTATGCCAAAAGCAAAAACTGAGCTCTGACATACCAAGTACTCACTACCTTACCTGTGTTGTCCTTCTTGGAATCTTAGAACAACCCTTCCAGGAAGGCACACAGTTTCCCCATTTCACAAAGGCAGCGGGAATTGAGATACAGAGAGGCTGATCTGCCAAAGGTCACAAGTTAGGAGAGAGCTTTCCTCTGAGCTAATGAGTGGTCACAGTCTCTACCCTTAACTGAAGTCATCATCTTACTTCTATGGGAGGGGCTGTTTCCCTCTTTACTTTTCAATGGGCCCAGAAGTGAGGTATGATTTGATCACGTTAAATCACTGGTGGGGAATTAAAAAAAATGTGTCTGGTCCTTTTTAAAGATTTATTTATTTTAAATTATGTGTATGTATACATTGTCTTTGTTTGGGTATGTGTGTATGAGTTTGGGTATCCATGGAGGCCGGAGGCAGATTCCCCTGGAGCTGCCTGATGTGGGAGCTGGAAACCAAACTTGGATCCATCCTCTAGATTAAGCAGTAAGCAATCTTAACTACTGAGCTATTTCTCCAGTGTCAAGGTACCTGCCTGGTCCTTCAGGTGGCAGATCAGTATCTTTTTGTTGTTGCTTATAGTGTTGCTAGAATTGAACCTAAAGTCTCACACAGGCCTAAGCAAATACTCTGTGATATTACTTAAAATGCATCTAGGTCATTTGAACACGAATCTAGGTTGAGAAGCCTTGGCATGATGATGCTAACGACCTTCCCAGTACAAACCTTTCATGAACCTTAATCCACAATGGGGGTAAGGAAAAACGATATGCTTGAAGATTTGGTTGAAAATGGGTAGCTTGATCCTATGTGCATATAGTATACAAGAAGCACTTAAAACATTGGAATTAATGAGATGAATTATGTCTTAACCTACTTCAAAATTTCCACAAAGGAATCAAGAGACTAATGACCTGTCCAAAGTTAGAGTGTTTTAAAGATCAACCCTGTTGCTATCAAATGAGAAAATATTCAGAATATTTCATATATTCAGATGCAGTATGATGCATTGTACTTTTATTTTCACATAGAAATAAAGACCATTTCTATTGAAGACTTTTATATTGGTCAAGTCATGGTACTCGAATACCTCTATATTGTTCCCATCCTATGTCATAAGCACATCCGTGTGTGTATATAGGAAATTGATTTTATTTATCCATCTACAAGCTCCAGATCTCATCCTGTTAACTTGGGAAGGCTCATAAAAATATAATATTTGTCTCAAGAAATCCCCAAATATGAGAACCACATTAAGGATACAGAAAAGAAAGTGATGTCTGTTAGGATCCTTCTTGCAAACCTCATAAGATATAGAATGGTGTCTTACTTTTTCAAGGTAATGTGGGGGTATTGGGAAAAATACACTGAATTTTTAATTTTTTCTCACTTTTACCACTCTCGTGTGCCCCTGTGTTTTCCCCAAGGAACAATCTGGATCCCAGCTGTCCCTTCATTGCTTGAATAGAGACAGATTCTACTTAATGTCATAATTGAAGAAAAAAACAAACCCACCAAATTTTAACCCAGTCATTTAGTTCATCAGCACAAAGTAAAAATGTTCTGGACTTTATCAAAGTAGCATGTTGGCAATCTTTTACTTTTGAGTAAATATGACACAATGGATAGCTTTAGAACAAGCTAACATCACTATGATCCAGGCATGTGCAACTGGTGCAGTTCAGTAGTACATAAACACCTCTAACAAACACACTCGGGCCAGAAACTTAAGTTACAAAATACAGTCAATATGACAATTTGCACAGAGAGTAGAAACCATTACTCTTAGATTCTGCACACTTAAAAAAAAAAAAAAGAACTTTATACAACGATCCAAATTATGTATTTCTGCCCAGATGCTCAGGGCACATCACACACACACAGAACCCTTAAAAAGTTGTGGTCACATTTTGATTTTGTTCCAGTGGTACACTGTCACACGAAATGTTCTGTCTCTTCCATGATAAACACTGGGCTGAAATGCAGTAGCTGCTGACTTAGAAATATCTCCATCAAAATGTGCAGACTGAAACAGTCCTCAGCATTAGAATTCTAATTAGGATTATTCTGAAAGCCTTTACGAACAGTCCTTAGGAATTTTGTAGAAACAGAAGTTAGGAAATTTCAGTGTGTTGTCTTTTTTTTTTTTTGGACACGAGTAAACAAATACTGGATTTTAAAGTGCAGCTTCTTTGTCTTCTCCCTTCACCTTCCCCTCTGCAAAGGAGAGCATTCTTTCTGTGTTGATGTCCAGAATCTCCACTGAAGGGTAAATCAGTTGCTGTCAGGCGCGTTTGGCCCGAAAGTCAACGATGGCCTTCCACAGCGTGCACAGCATCCCTCCCCTGTGTAAAGACAGAAGAAGCTGAAGAGTACTGTCCCCTGGAACTGCCCTTGAAATAGAGGGGAGTTGTTAGCTTCAGCTCCTTTGGAGGGAACATGGAGATCCTAGGCATATCAGGCCTTATGTATTCTGTGTGCGTGCATGCATGGTTCTCACCACCCTTCATTCCTTTCCTTTCCATTTCTGAAAGTACCAAGGTGCAAAACATCATTTGATGTTCTTGAAAACGTGCCTTTATAGAGATGGTCGTCAGTTACGTGGGCTGAGAGAGAAAACTGTGACAAGGAATTGTACCAGTTGATACAAAGCGCTCTAGCTGATAAGTGAGTGATGTATCTGCTGTTTACTGTACAATCATGAGCTAAATTAGAGTGTTTCTTCACAGCAGCCTTAAGAGTATCTGCATGATTTTAGCCTGCAATACTATTTAAGGGACCTCTTCCAGTTGATTGCCACACACTTATACAGATATGCTAGTTATTAGAGTTCCCCCAAATAGCCCAACTAATTCAGTTTACTCAGAGGGTTGAAAACCAGACACAGCCCTTCCTGAGCCTGCAGAGCTAGTCAGAGACCCTGCAGGGCAGGAACCCAAACTTCCTGTTCTCAACCCAGGGTTCTTTCCCTCATGACAACCAAACGTAAGGGGAAAAAAATGGTACCTTAGTCTGAGGCACTTTAAATCATCGCGTGTGACATAGTAGAGAACATCCACTAGTGTGTAATCCTCAGCCAGAAACTGCAGAGAGAGCAAAGTATGCATAGAATAAGGAGGTGTGTGTATCTCTAATAAACAAAGGCTGTCCACAAGACAAATATTGCTGATAATTAAGAATGAATCTAACAGGCAAGCCACAACAAAACAACCTTCTGGAATTATTAGAGAAAAATCCTTCTGATAACCAAATTAGAAAGAAACTCATTTGTAGGATTCCCATTGCTTACAGATTAGAAGAGACGCAGGTTTAACCTCACTTGTCATCGAGAAGGCTGCTGACAGCTAGTGTTTGTATTGAACAAGTCAAGTGCTCCATGGCTCTGCTTGTTCCCAAGTAGATCAACAATATTCTGGGGGCATTGTTGCCTATACTCAGTCTTTTAACTTACTTTTTCATAGCCAGTAACAGGGACGTTCCTGTAATTCACTGCAAAGTCAGTCCTAGATGTAAACGGAGCTTTTCATTTTAAAGCAAATGAAAGGGATAGTGATTTAGTGGGTCATCCTTTACTCACTACCACCCTGAGTGTGAGATTTGAACCCAAGAGAATAAATGTTGTGGAGAACTTGGTTGGGTGTATTGTTTTCTCTTAGCAAGAGAGTTACTTTAATTTAGTTAGCAAATTGTTAAATGTAGATTTCTAAGGAGACCCTAAATTTTATGTAGTCTAATATATTGTGAAAAGGAAAATTTTAGTTATTTTACATTGTAGATATAAAGCCGAAGACAGTCTAGAGTTACTGAAGTCCTTGATAGCAAAGGGAAAATATTATATCTTTTAAAAACAGAGTTTTTATTTCCGACTATGTGTATGTACATGTCTCTCTCTCTGTATGTGGGTACATGCACAGAGTGCAGGTGTGGCTAACTCTAGGAGAGGGCATCAGATGCCCTGCAGCTGGAGATATAGGTGGTAAGCCACCAGATGTGGGTGCTGGGAACCAAACCCAGCTGTTTTATAAGAGCAGTACACACTCTTGACTGCAGTGACATCTCTCCAACTCTCAAATAGTACATCTTAATATGTATACGTGTTATACATGTAATCTCAAGTCAAATCTCAGCTCTTCATGCTGATTCTGAGTTTATGAAGGTGAGAGAGGAATTGGGTTGTAATAGACATGTGATTTGCACAGGAAGTACTTCTGACAAAAACTCACTAGCTGCCTCTTACTTTTCTCAAGTAGCAATGAATAGCCACTGCCAAATGGAGATTAATAATGTTACAAAAGAATTAAAAATTTAACAGAAGTGGCAGCAACAGAAGGATACTTTTCTTATAGCTCTAGCTCCATTTATTCCTTACTCTTCCTCATTTTCAGTCCACAAGCAATAGAATACTCAGAGGTTATGGACAATGGTGTACTTTTGTACCTTACCTCTTGCCTTTCTACATCTTGTTCTTCTCCCCAGAATGAACTTCCTTTCCTTGTCTGTATTGCTCTCATATGCACAGTTGGCCTAGTTTATAGTTACATATTCCTTTAGACTCATTCATTGTCCTCTGGGAGAAACACACACACACACACACACACACACACACACACACACCCTTGAAAATTTTGTGTCAGAATTTGCTGGTGTAAGTTTTTTGTTTTTGTTTTTTAAATAAGTGTACTTTATCTTAATGTATACATGTCAGGAAGACAGGACTATCTGAGACTTGCATAGCAGTGTGTCCCCTGTGCCTAAGTTACCTGGCACATAGTACACACTCATCATTATGTAAAGAAGTGGGATGCCATGGGTCCCACAGAAGTTTCTCTTTACCCGACTGATAGTGTCCTCGTCAGCTCCATTTTCTCTCAGCCAGCCAGTAAGTTCAGAATCTTCAGTGGTTGTGCCAGCAGAGTTCAGGTGGTACATGGGAAACCCAGGGATATCTAGAACCACAATTAGGGGAAATCTTTAGCTCTGTGGAACTAATCTGGAACACTCAGCACCCATGGAAATCTCTTGCTAATTTGCAGACTGTCAGAGAAGAACTAATAGAAGCAATTAAGATAGGCCATATAAATGACAATTGAAATACCAGCTACTCTACTAGTAAACGGAAAGTCAGAAGTAGCACTGTGGTGATATACTCCCTTCATACTTTTATATGAAGTTTGTAATTTCTTAGAATTACCTTCGTGTACCCAAATTATGCCTTGTATTTTTCATGGACCTAAGATGAACAGTTAGCAGAATACTATACAATTATAATCTCTTTTCCCATTATTTGTAATAATACAGAAAAGCCAAATACCTAAGCAAATAACTCTAGATGTAACTTCCTAAGAATTAGCAAATAAGATTCACCTACAAACTCTCATAAAGCAGATTTGTTTATTGTTTCACCCTATGGCATTTTTTTACTGTAAGCTTATCGTATTTAAGTCTTTCCAAATTAGAAGGAGGAAAAGCTAGAATATGCTGAATACAAATGCTAAATGACAAAAGTAGCATTATTTTATTCTGGTACTCTGTGGAATCTTTAGAAAGAAAGACAAACAGTGGAGACCCTCGTTTACCTCAATAATACATTATCCCTGAAAGAGGAAGTATGAGCATGCATTAATTATCCTGTGCTCATAGAAGATGATCAGTCACTACAGTTAAGAAGGGGATCTTGCTGGTCAACTGGTCCATGGAGCTATGACACAGCTGCCTACTGGCTTCCTAGCCTTCTGTGGCAGCCTGGTTGAACAGTCAATGCCTAAATTAAATTACACTGAAGTTCTCTGCTGCTTACCTATTGGTTGGGACTTAAGCTTCAGGTGTTTAATTTCCTGGTCTTTTTCTTCAATAGCTTGATGAAGGAGTGCTTGTAACTCTTTCTCTTTCCGTACTAACTCTTCAAGTAATCTGCAGGAGAGACTCACATTGGTTGATGGGAAAATGGCACAGGAGGTAACAACGCTTCTGTCAGCGTGGGCTTCTTTCTCAGGCTACAACGAGCACAGAGATTTTATAGAAATAAAAGACCCGGTATCAGTGGCTCTGGGCTGAGGCCAGAGACGGCATGTTTAATGAGCTCTCAGTAGACAGTCATGTAGCAATGTAGCAGATCTGTGGAGACGTAATCATTTATCTTCCTTCCTTCCTTTTTTTTTCTTTTTTTTTTGAGATAGGGTTTCTCTGTGTCCCACTCTGTAGATCAGACTAGCCTTGAACTCAGAGACCACCTGCTTCTGCCTCAGCTGGGATCAAAGGCATGTGCTACCACCACCCAGCTGCAATCCTCCTTCTTAAACTATGAAAATAGTTTAAGGGCTGAGGCAAGGCTGCCTACTACACTATCTGGTTACTGTGCTATCTACTATCTGCCTAATATACTATCTGCCTACTATACTGTCTGCCTACTGTACTATCTACTATACTATCTGTCTACTATATTATCTACTATACTAACTGGCTACTATACTATCTGACTACTATATTGTCTACTATACTAACTGGTTACTACACTATCCAGCACCAGACAAGGGCTCCATAAATGTTAATGGTTATTGTTGCAGTTGTAGTCAGCACTGCTATTTCTTTCTCACTTCTGGGGGTGGGTATGGCTGGGGAACCATTTCTAAGGTAGTCAGCACTGCTATTTCTTTCTCACTTCTGGGGGTGGGTATGGCTGGTGAACCATTTAAAAAGATAGCCGTGATCCTGGTGCATTCAGTTCTGGAGATGATCTGCTGCACTCCCAAGATGCAAAGATAAATTCTGATACTCTGACATCATTTTTGGCCATGGGAGGCTCCCCCAGCCACCTAGAACCAACCTGTGATCTGCCCACACTGTCCAGTGCTTTTCTACGAGGAAACACTCCAGCTTATAGAAACCAAAGTTCTGGTTCCTTAGAAAACTATCTCTGAGTAACTTTGCCCATCTGACAAGTTTAAAATATATAATTATTGTGGCTGGAGAGATGGCTGAGCAGTCAACAGCACTTGTTCTTGCAGAGGACCCAGGTTCGTTTCCCAACACCTACACAGCAGCTCACAACTATCCAAAACTCCAGTTCCAGGGAATTTAATACTCTCTTCTGACCTCAGAGAGCGCTAGGCACACATGGGGTACATAGCTATACTAGCAAGCAAAACACTCATAGACATTAATCTAAAAATTAAAATAAATAATTATTAATAAGAACTTTAGGACAAATTACTACATAGGTAGTAGCTCTCAGCAAGTCATCTCTGTTTGATTTTTTTGACCATTAATAGATTTACTCTGGGGCCATGTAGGACCAAACATCTGTGTGTTTCCGTTGACACGCTGTGTAAGCAGCACACTGTAACTGACAGATAAGCCTGGGTTTATGTACTGGTTCAGCCACACACTTCCTGTGTTCACCTTAGACACATTTCCCAATGCTTCAGGGCTCCAGTTTTCTCATTTGTTAAAGGAAATGGGAAACTTCTAGAAGGGATTACTGTGAGAATTGCATGAAACAAAATAGAGAAAATACAAAGCCCAAGAAGGGGTTCCTATTTTGAGCCCCAAAATCTACTCCATGAAGGGCCTAAAGATAAAGCCTTTGTGATGGAGAGGGGTCACAGAATCGGGAGCAGAGGTGGGACAAACATGAGATGCAGTAGGAGAGAGAGGTCGGCTGAAGGAGACACATAAGCAAAGACACCTGCAGAGAAAATACCGTTCACAATTAGATGAGTTAAACAGCATGAAATGAAAGCAAAGGGCTAAAGAGAGACTTTGTATCAACTCCAGGGCCAGTGACAGTCACAGAATGGGATGCAAGCTCTGAATGAATTTTTAATGGGCACTTTCTGGTCTAGAAAGTATCGCTATTGTCATTTCAAAGGTCACGGACATTTTCCGGAGCTTATTTAGGCTATGCAGTTCCCTTTTGTCTTTAAAAGCCGGGAAGTCACATTGTAAGTACACCTTGCTGGGCCACTTCAACTGTCCCAAGTCCAGCTTTAAGACCACTCACGTGAAGTGTGCATTTAGCCCATACATTTAGTGTCACCACATGCTAGGTAGTGGGAAATGATGTGTAAGGTTGATAATTGTATTCCTTTCTGTTTCAGAAAGATATGGCAAGAAACTACCATGGGGCCAGTCTCTTAATTCAAGTGTGCACAGCGGTGAGGCAGGCTGGTGGGCAGTTCTAGAATCTCAGGGCAGGGAAATTAGATAACCAGCCAGTGAGTTCTGAGTTAATTTTAAGAGTCCTTGCAAGAATTGAGTTTTCAGAACATTTTATTAAGGGTTTACTTAAATATAACTGACATGTATATTCTAAAATCATCTGCCTTCTGTCATTTAGAATTACTAACTAAAAATCAGGAGGTAGGTATAGCTGATTTAGCTTTGTCAGCGATTATAATAATCATAAGCTTAAGATTTTGTGTGTCAGGGCTAGAGAGATAGCTCAGCAGTTAAGATCACTGGCTGCTCTTCCAGAGGACCTGGGTTCAATTCCCAGCACCCCACATGGCAGCTCACAACTGTCTGTAACTCCAGTTCCAGAGGATCCAACACCCTCACATAGACATACATGTAGGCAAAACACCAATGTACATAAAATAAATAATAAAAAAAGATTTTGTGTATGTATATGTCTGTGTCCATGAGTACTGTGTGAGTGTGTGTGTGTGTGTGTGTGTGTGTGTATGTGTGTGTGTGTGTGTGTGTGTTGTGAATTCGATGCCACATGTCTTCTTTCTCAATTGCTCTCCATCTTGTTTTCTGTGACAGGGTCTTCCACTGAACTTGCAGCTCACAGATTCAGTTAGACTGGCTGGGCATGAAACCACAAGGATCCTGTAGGCTGCGGTTCCCAGTGCTAGAATTGTAGACATATGCTGCTGTATTCAGTTTTTCTGTGGGTGCTGGGGACTGGACTCAGGCAGGACCTTATGCTTGCACAGCAGTACACCCACCTCTCTCTCTCTCTCTCTCTCTCTCCTCTCCCTCGCTCCCCCACACACACACACACACACACACACACACACACACACACTATTTGTGTGTGTAGTTAGGGATCAGTAGACTTGAAACCAGGGCCTTGTTTATGCTGGGCAAGCATTCTGTCACTGAGCTACACTCCCATAGCAACAGTCAGCAGAAGGTAAGTGTGGGTGGAACCTATGATCTCACGAAGATCAAGGGCACCCTCAGCCACATACTGAGTTAAAGTCCAGCATGGGCTACATGAGACCCTGTATAAAAGGACTGATAAATATGAAGATATGAAGAAGTAATAATATTCAACTAAAAGCATAAGACAACTAAGACAGACATTACCAGTCCCTGGTTTATGCTGTTTTTACTAAACCATCCACCCTTCTTTAAACTATTTGGGAAGAAAACACTGTACCTTATCTCACTTTTCTGATGGTCATGGGAATCTGTGGGAAATATTACTAAGAAAGGGAAGAGGAGGCCAGTGGTCCTTAGATGTCACGTATTCATCTGTTAGCATATAGAGGAAATACATGAATGTGTAGATTATTACAAAAAAAGGTAGTTATGTAAGTGAGAAACATGCAAATCCTTCTCTATTGAGGTGGATAGATTTTCAGAAGCAAGGTTCTGGGTGGAGCCAAAAGGACCTCAGAAAAGACATGAGAAGATGTGAGGAAAACTGCAGGGAAAGCATGGCTCCTGGGCACTGTAGGTGTCATCAACATGGTAGACAGAAGACTGCCAGATGGTGCACACAAGGCAAAGCAAACAAGCAACGGAGAGAAGGGAGAGCCACACATACTTCCGGGATGTGTTTAGAGAGGCAGGTCCTACCGACATATTCAGGGTGGACAGACAGAGGTTTGGGGGTGGCAGGGGCGGGCAGAAAAGCAGACAGACTGGCTCTTTGGTAAACAGAATAGCTTTCTGGCAGAATCATTCTGATCAGAACACATGAGTGGGTAGGGCTGGAGCCACACAATAACTTCCTCCCCTAGAGACCAGAATAGGGGTTCCAAAATCAGCTCCAGTCAGGATTGAATGGCAGGGTAAAATGACGTGAATGAGTGCATAGCCACTACAATGGATGGGCTATTAAAACCAGGCTACTGCTGGAGAAGAGGAGGAACAAGGCAGAGTTGGGTATCAAAGGACAAGGCTGGAATATGGACATCAGAGCCAATGTCACCATAGTCTAAAACATTTCCCCATAAAAACCATCAAAGATAAGCAGGTATGCATAATACCAGCTTTCACTTTGAAGCTTAATGAGAAATGAGTTAACATTTGTTACCCCGGTGAACAACTAGATAGATTGTCAACTAAGGTTTCTAAATATTTGAACAACTTTTATTGATTCACTAAAAAGTTTTCATTATAGAACCAAAGCCATAAAGTCAGTTTCCCACATGTCGACAGGGGCCAGAACAGGAAGCTGTAAATCATAAGGCCTCAGACTTTGAACTGTGCCAACATTGGAAGAACAGGCAGTACTTACTGCACATTTGGTAATTGGATTATGTGGGTTCTATGGTACCAAATTCTCAGCAACAAAGCCCAGACAGAGCATGACATAGTCCCAGATGTTGGCCAGCTACCTTTAAGCTTCTGAATGCAAAGCTCAGTTTTATCCTTGAAACACAAATCTTTTCTTAAAAGAAAAATATCACAGACACTCTCTGTTCTCTCTCCTCTGTCTACTGGAAGGAACATGCTGCCCCGCGTCTGTTTCTGAAGGGTTCATGAGATTACAACTCAGTTATTCTGCAAATCCCTGTGCGCTTGGGGCAAAGCAGTAAGCAGATGGGTGCTTGTCCTGCTAGCAGCAGAAAGTGTCATTTTATGAGAGCTAAAATCAACCCCTCTTGTTTTATAAAACAAAAGCAGCTAACATTCTATGCTGGGGTGACAGAATCATCATGTGTATTCTGTGGGCCGGACTTTTAAAACAGAGTCAAATTATTCACTTTTATAGAAATAAGAAAAAAGGGAAACCAACCCACATCCTCACATTACCTATTAGTTTCTATTTTCATCCTTCCAAGCTGCACATTCAGGGACCGGTGAGCGCTCTGGGAATCATGGGATACAGTGGAGCTGAGCGTGCTCACTCCCGAGGTAGCCACCGCATCCTCAATGACGACGGCTTGAGGTCTACGGACAGTTTGATTCGAATGGGATTCCTCATGCTCATCTTCGACATCCAAGTCTTCTGGATCAGCTGTGTCACTTTCGGATGCAAGGCTAAAGTGTGGCCTCAACTCTACATGGCAAAATACAGTATTAATAGGGTGGACTAAATCATTGCCTTTATGTATTAAGATGCATCAGCTCCTATGCAGTCTACCCAAACTGTTCTTTCAAGTGAAGGTGAGTTTCCGTGTATCTGCTCAGAGTTCTTCCAGTGGGAACTTAAGCAGCACTAAAGATCATTCTTAATGCAAGAAATATGCCTGTCTTATCAGTTGTCTTCAGCTTCCCAAGGCCATTCTGATTTCTATGCTCAGCATTTCTCTGTCTGGTCCCTACTACACTTGTGAAGTAAGAAGAAATATTTAATGTCCCAGTGATGAGCCTGAGAAAAGGACTCCCAAGGGGCTCCCACTGAGTTCTGTTCTGGGCAAGCATTTGGGAATAGGGAGATTGCACACTTTCCAAACTTTTATTTTGAAACAATTTTACAGAAACAGAGAAATTACATAATACACAGAGTGTTCCTTTGTACCTATGGGAAGCTCGCCCTAACCTTAGCATCTCATGTGACTTCAGAACTGTGGTCTAAATCAAGAAATCAACATCAATACTATGAAGTCTCTCTCGCTCCCTTTCTCCTGCTCTCCTCCCTTCCTTTAATATTTTTTAAAATCAGGATCTCATTATGTAGCCTCTGCTGTTACTGTTTTCCCTTTGTAGTTAGTAAATACCTTGCAATGAGAGATAAGGAAATAATCCACTATCCTGCATCTCATCACTGTGTCCCTACTAATTTAGCAGTCATCCACAGTGCTTGCTTGCAATACATATGACTGTTAGTGCATACGTAGTGGTGGCTTTTCTATTTTCTTCACTCCCTCTATGCTTGTCAAGTAGAGGTTTTTATAGCAAAGGGCTGACTCTCAGTTACTTTTTGCATCCTGGACTCACAGGTATATATCCTGTTAGGCTTGCTATATTTGTGGTCTGAAGAGTCCCCCAGAGGTCCAGGAAGTAAAGGCTCAGTCCTTAGTATGGTACCACTGGGAGGTGGCAGAACCTTCAGGGGGCTGCGGTCATTGTGGGGCCTATGTCACTGTGGGTTGTGGAACCTGGTCTCTTGCTTTTCATCTCTTGTGCTTCCCAGTCATGCACTAAGAGGTTTAGTTCTGCCAAAGGCTTTCTCTAGGATGTGTCACCATAAACCCAAAACAACGGCCAACCATGGCCAAAGTAAACCTTTTCTCTTATAAACTACTTATCTTAGGAATTTGTTAAAATGACAGAAAAACTACCAATACGGATCTATAATGCAATACTATTTTTATTTCATTTCATTTTGTTGTTTAAATTGTTCCAGCATGCATCAGTGTCCTTCCAGTAACCCCTGTTCTTTTCAGAGTCTTCCTTACTTTCTGTCACCACATGGTGTCCCAAGCTCATTTTATATTTCTTCCATCCCAGGCCTGAAATCAACCACTTCAGCAGGAGCTCAAATGCCATCTGTTAGAGCAGTGGTTCTCAACCTGTGGGTCAGGAACCCTCTGGCAAATTTCTCTCTCCAAAATATTTACATTGCAATTCATAACAGTAGCAAAATTACAGTTATGAAATAGCAATGAAAATAATTTTTTGTTTGGGGTTCACCACAGTATGAGAAACTGTATTAAAGGGTTGCAGCATTAGGAAGGTTGAGAACCACTGTGTTGGAAGATGGTGTTTAGAAACTACAACATAGGTCACCTCAGGAAACAGACAGAAAGTAAAGGAAGTAAGGATGCTTTATCCACACTTGCAAGCCAAGCAAGGGATCCTGAGAACTGAGAAGGAATCCCACAAGAAGGATTCACATTTCTTAAAAACTGGAGACATTCTCAAATATTTCATATTGATTCTCTGAAGTTTTTTCTTCTCCTTTTAGAGCACAGGTGTAAGACATCCGGCTTAAAAGTTTCATTACTAGCCGGGCATTGGTGGTGCACGCCTTTAATCCCAGCACTAGAGAGGCAGAGGCAGGCAGATCTCTGTGATTTCGAGGCCAGCCTGGTCTCCAGAGTGAGTGCTAGAATAGGCTCCAAAGCTACACAGAGAAACCCTGTCTGGAAACAACAACAACAGCAATAATAACAACAACAACAACAAAAGTTTTATTACTGAATAAACTGTGGAGATTTGCCATGGAGAAGGAAAACAACCCCCACTCTACCAAACTTGGTTCATCAACACTATGCCTTCTGTGATTCACTGCCAGTATAACTAGGGTATATTTAGGTTCATGATTCCCAAACCCAGCCGTATATCACAGCAGCCTGAGAGCCGTACTCAGATTGCATTTCTGGAGTATAGAGGATCTTTTCAGAGCCATAAAAATACTCTCTATGATAATCTAATCATAGGTAGGCATCATTGTATTCATCCAAACCCATAGATCACACAGCTCTAAAGGCAAGACTATAGACAGAGCCCAGGTGATGAAGCTATGCTAGGATACGCTCAACAATTGTAACAAATGTAAGAAAATGCTAACACTGGGAGACATGACGTGCATGGCAGAGCAGAGAGCACACAGGAAACTGCACCTTCCCTCTCAATTTTTGTAACGATCTAAAACGTTTTTATTTTTTAATTGAAAAAAATACATTTCCTAAGCCTTAACTTCAGAAGACTGTTGCCAATGTGGTCTAAGATGGGTTTGAAAGCTGTGATTTTTGCTGAATGCACTGGAAGACCAGAGAATCACTGCTTTAAAAGGCGACAAACCTGTTTGTGGGTACAGGTATGTAGCCATTAAAATTCCTAACTATTTGGGGCACCTTAGAGTGTCTTGTTTTTCTTCAATGCTTCTGCAAGCAAACCTTCCACAATCACAGTGAAAGTTTGCTTGGTGTACCCTTGTGTATATTGGATGCACTAGAGAAATGTTTTTTGGTGACTGTGGTACTTTGAATGAGAATACCATCCTCCTCCCCCATAAACTCATGTATTTGAGTACCTAGTCACTAATTGGTGACATTATTTGGGAAGGCTTAGGAGGTGTGGTGGCCTTGCTGGAGGAAGTGTGTCACTGGGAGCAGGCTTTGAGAGTTCAAAGACTTGAGCCACTCCTAGTTTGCCATCTCAGCTTCATGCTTGTGCTTGAAGATCTGAGCTCTGGGCTTGCTGCTTCAGCTATCACGCCTGTCTTCAGGCATGCCTCCCCACCATAAAGTGATGGGCTCCTCTCACTCTGGAGCCAAAAGTCCAGATAAGCCCTTCCTTCTGCAAGTTGCTATGGTCACGGTGTTTTATCCCAATAATAATAAAAAAAAGTAAGTAAGACAGTGACTTTGAAATTAATTTTTAAAAAGGCCACCAGGGTTCTTAACAACACTAAAGAAACAACAGAAATGAAATGGCAGGGGAAGAGCAATCTAAAATATGCAAGCACTAATTATTTACATACTCATTAAATATTTCTGACCTGGAACCAGAATGGTAATAGCTGTTTGCACAGCCTTTCGGATGATGCTGTCCAAGGCGAACATCCAGTGTGGTTTGATGTTATGATTCCGGAGAACTTTATTGACCTGAAAAAAACAGTGACCTTTAGTCTGCTTAATTTCTTACATGGTTTATTATTATTATTCTCCCCCATTCCCCACAACTTTGTGTGTGTGTGTGTGTGTGTGTATGCATGGGCCTTGGCATGCGTGTGAAATCATAGGACAGCTTGTGGAAGTCAGTTCTCTCCTACCATGCAGGTTCCCAGTACTGAATTCAGGTCATCAGGCTCAGGGGCAAGCACTTCTACCCATCTCACCAGGCCTAGTCTACATTATTTTTTAATTGTAAATAGCCCAGCTGATCGAAGCTCTTGGGTGAACATCTATCTGCAAATGTAACTAAGAGCCTTCATCACCTTGCAGTACAAATAATTTCTTTATGTCACTAGGAAACAAACATTGACACTGGAAATTAGAATCGAAATCTAGGAGTGCTGGCATGCACCCGCAATCCCGATGCTTAGGAGGCTGAGGCAGGAGGCTCATGAGTTTGAGGCCGGCTTGGGCTCTAACACCTCACCTCAAAGAAAGCAAAAGAAAAAACAAAACAAACAAAAGAAATAAGAAAACAAAAAACGAAAATCTCTCCAATTAAAACTGAGCGTATTTTGGGGCTGGCGAGATGGCTCAGAGGTTAAGAGCACTGACTGCTCTTCCAGAGGTCCCGAGTTCAATTTCAGCAAGCACATGGTGGCTCACAACCATCTGTATTGAGATCTGGTGCCCTCTTCTGGAGTGCAGACATACATAGAAGCAGAATGTTGTATACATAATAAATAAATAAAATCTTAAAAAAAAAGTGTGTCCTCAAAAACAAAACAAAACAAAACAAAAACCAAAAAAACCCCAAACAAACAAACAAACAAACAAAAAACTGAGCGTATTTCATTCAGGCCAGTTAGGTATTTAAGTGGGAAGGCCTCAGGTGAAATGGGTGTGCCCAATCTTCGGGACTCAGGGTTGCTGCGGAAGGCATGAAAGCAGGGAGAGTTGAAGGGGCTTTCAATAAACATACACCCTACCCTGCAATGTTATAATTGTCATTTAACACAGATGCTTAAGCACGTTCAGGACGTGGGAAAAAAAGGGAGGAGAGCAGAAAAGAGCATTTGTGTGCTACCTCCACCTTGCCACAATCCTGTCCCCCACCTCGCCCATTGTCACCGATGCCTCTCTACACAGGGGAATAACCTGCTAGAGTACACCAGAAAGCCTAGCCACACACAAAAGTCTCTGTGGTAAGGATAACTTTTTACAATGACTGGTAATGTTCCACCCGTTTAAATGGACACTGTAATAGACACACACCTGGCCTTTCTGTCTTTTTTTAAAACTGCTGTGAACTACACACAATATAAAATTTCCACTGTTCATCATTTTATTTCATCAGATGAGTTTTAGAAATATAAAGATTATTTTCCCCACCCGAGGCACCACATCCCCACACGTGATAGTGATGTCCTCACTGTCCATCTTTAGAGCTCTTCATCTTACACAACTGGAACTCGGCACTCACTGAGGCTAAGTTCTCACTCCTACCCAACAGTCCTTTCATGCCTGTCTGCTTCTGTCTCTGTGGTCTCACTACTTTAGGTACCTCCAGTGTGCAATCAAAGCATTTGGCTTTTTGGAACCAGCTTGTTTGGCTTAGCGTGACATTCTCATTTTTTTTTTTTGTTTGTTTGTTTAGTTTTTCAAGACAGGGTTTCTTTGTGTGTAGACCTTAGCTGTCCTGAAACTCACTCTGTAGACCATCCTGGCCTCGAACTCAGAGATCCATCTGCCTCTCTGCCTCTCCAGTGCTGGAATTAAAGGCATGCATCCCCACCACCCAGCAGCATGACATTCTTTAAGATTCATCCATAGTACAACCTGTGCCAGAATTTCTTTTTTTTTTTTTAAAGACTGAATAATCCCCTTATATACAATACATTAACTTTTTAAAGACAAGCATTTGTCATAATGTATTGAATGACTCTACGACATCCTGGTTGACAATGGCATCTATGGAAACAGGCTGGGTAGAAATGGGGAAATGATGGCTGAGCTGCAAACTCTGCCAAGAGCTGGAACAACAGTCACTCAATCTTCCCCTTAGTCCAGTCTCATCAAAATCACCCCATTTAGGGGACAGTCAGTTTGGGGTTTTCCTTGTCATAGTTACTCCCAAGGAGATGAACCTCGCTTGTTCCAGGAAATTCTTTGGGACTGACTTTGAAATGCTTCCACTTTTTAAGTGGATTGACCTGCTTATGTGACTAACCAGTATATCATTTAGAAAAGTGGACTATTTCTCTCAAGAGGGGATCCTTTGTTACTGTGATCTGCCCTGCACAGCTCCTCATTACACAGCAGACTACCCAGTGAGAACACTGGACAGTGAGTAGAGCAGGAGTGAGTGAGTTGCATGTCTGTGTCTGACCTGGGCCTGAGGCCCAGGATTACAGCTAAATAGCTCTCACTCTGAATTCTACAGCCAATTTGCTTTCCAACCTCTCTCCTGGAAGCCAATGTGTGGGCAAGCACAGATTAGGTAACCCATTTCACTCTATTGCAGATGGCTGGGTTTCCATAGACGCAGTGTAAGCATGCCTTAGCATTTAATATTAGTGAAAGGCTTTGCCAACTGCCTTCATTATCTAGCACCTCAGTCCAAGTGGGGCTCTTGCTCCTGCTCCTCATACAGCAGAGACAAAGTAGTTTCCACTCAGAACACCAGTGGCCGTTGAAGGGTGGAAATTTAGTTTTGAATGAGGATCATTTGTAACTTCAAATACAAATGTCAAGAAACCTTCTACATATTGGAGTGATAATACATTAAGAGGTAATTAATTTGTAAAATTTAAGTAAAACCCTAAAGTGTGATTCCATTTCTACATCACCAACACCATCAAGATACCTTTTATTTCTGCCTCCCGTATCTATGTAAGGGTATCTGAGGGTGGCTTCAGGTGCCTAGGGTACAAAAGTCTAAAGAGAGGCCTTACTCAAGAATAACAGGAAGAGTTCTGAACCAACCTTGCAAAATAGCTTCTAGTTTGTCTTGCACAGACAGCATTGGCAGGAATCTCTCATTAGATCATGTGGATTAATTTTCACTCATCAACTGTCTGAACTCTGAATTATATTTCTGGTTAGACCATGGTGAATGCTTATGAAACAAACCTGTTAAGAATGTTCTCTATGGAAACCAGAGAAAAACCATGGGGGTGCAGAGGGGAGGAATCCCCTATTTAACAGAAAGCATTCACAGGCATATTAGTGCATTTCCCTCAGTGGCCACTAGATGGCATTTCTTGTACGGCATTACAAAACACATGACTAAAGTGCACTATGCTCCTGAGGCCGCCAAAATACAGTAACCCACCACGTGATCATTAGGCATATCATTAGTATATAGTAAGCATGTTTGCTAGTAGTCATAGAGATAATAGAGTGATTGAGCTAAGATGAAATCATGTAACTAAACCTGAAGTTAGAAGAAGGGCGGAAAAGGCTTCTGTAAGAGCTCATGTAGGGTTTACCATGTGATATGCATGTTTTTTTCACCGAACTATGTGATATGCACCGTTTTCCATGGTGCTTAAGCTGTGTGGGTCTCTTATTTTTGGGGGAACTCAATAAACATCTCATACTTGTCATCCAAAGAGAACGGAGTTTACTGAATAAATGAAAGGGAACAGAGTTTAACTTGTATCCTATTTTTATAACTGAACACTTAGCAGAGTCTGTGGGAGAAGCAATGGCACAATGCGGTACTTACCGCATCCTGGAAACCAAAGAGTACCACCTGCACCTGGTTGATGCCATGGCTGTCAAAGTCCAGCTCTAGCTTCAGCTTTGACAGTGTAGTGGCTATGATTTTTCGGTCAGTGGACCTCACAAACTCTCTGAGGCTCGCGATGAGGGTTGTGATGTGTTCCCATTTTAGTTTCGGCTCTTCAGCACCCTGAAAATAAAACCCATAAGGCCTCAGTTACTCTGGACATGCCAGCCACAAGCTTCCCATTCTCATTGTCTTCTCTCAGAAGAACCGAGCTCTGAAAAGACCTCCTGCTAATGAAAAAGAGCATGTTTTCAACTCTGGCTCCTGTCAGCAGCCATGGCTACTGCCAGAACTAAGCAGTCTTTGGAAAAACAGCACTTAGCCCTCATACTGGTCGGTAGCCAGGACATAGTCTGATATGTGCAGCTTTGTCCAAATGGAGATAAACTGAGGCAGCAAGACTCTGGACACTAGTGAGACAGAGGCACTGAGCCACAGAATCTTAATCTCAAAGTCTGCCCACAGAAAGGTCATAAAATAGGGTTGGGATGTGTCCAGTGCACCCAGGGGGTAGATGCAGGGGAGTTGAGAGTGACATTAGGTAGGGAAAGAAGTAGACAGACTAGAGCTGTACACCACAAGGCCAGCAGCAGCCAAGCAAGAGAAAAGATGGGACCAATCACTGGAGTTTTAACAGCCAAGTTTCCTCTCTGCCAGGCTCAGCCAGGTACCAAGGGGCTACTTCTCTCAGGGCTGTGTGTGTCTATCACATGTCATTGGTCCTTCCCCTGCCTTTAAAGTCAATTCCTTACCTTATCCAGTCTCAGATACCACCATTGGAGCCATTAACAACAACTGGGTAATCAGTTATAAAAATGGACAAGGATAAATTTTACATATTTATAGATCTCTCTTTCAAAGTGAATTTTAATTAACTTATTAATTTATTTATTTTACTTTGAGCAAGGCACAATGCTTCTGTAAAGAAAGCCTAATTTGGGACTGGAGAGATGGCTCAGAGGTTAAGAGCCCTGGCTGCTCTTCCAGAGGTCCTGAGTTCAATTCCCAGGAACCACTTGGTGGCTCACAACCATCTATCAAGAGATCCCTTGTCCTCTTCTGGCCTGAAGGCATACAAGTAGGCAGAACACGGTATACATAACACGTAAAAAGTTTTTTAAAGCCTAATTTAAAGATGCTACTGATCCTCAATTAGAAGCAACAGAATTTTTACTAAGCTCATTTCTATTTAATATTGCATTTTCTTACTATATTATTAAAATTAAATTTCTCTACTGGGCAAATAAAATTCCAATTATTAGAATACCATCAAAAATTTTCAAAAGCACCATTGGCTGAGTTCTTTATCTACATATATTCTCGATTTGGGAACTTGGTTCCATGTTTCAGTTCTCATGAGAAAAGTTTAATTGAAAGGCCTAAAGGCTGTCATTAGAGAAACTTTAAAATTATAGTGAGAACAATTATACGCTTTGTTTTTTTCTCACCACAAACTAAACGACAGCCAGAGGGAAGATTCACAGGCAGCTTTATATATCAGGAAGGAAAACTAAGTTATTCAGATGCTGGGAGCTTGGCTCCGAGATAAATCAGATACAGCTCCGCCAATGGCTTGGACAGCAAGTATTTATTTTCGACATCAGGTTTGTTTTAAAACACAAAACAAAACAAAAACATGTTGCTTCTGGTTTTGGGGTGTGTGATTGTTGCTGTCCTGTGAAAGAATGCTCTCTATGCCGGGAAATGTTTCCTGTCCAGGCTACTTCATCCACTTACTCAATCCATCTTCCTGTCCTAATGCCAGCCCCTCTGTGTTAACTCATTCTGCAGGGTAAACGTGGCTCAGAACAATGGAAACATTTGACAGTGAGCCTTTCCCAAACATTCACAGGTTTTCTGCAAAAGTCCCCTCTAGTCTTGTGTGTACAGATGCTTGTGTGTGTGTATGAGTAAATATTGGGTATTTTCTCTATTCCTCACTGCCTTATTACCTCATGGCAGGGTGCCTCGCTGAATTTAAAGCTTGCTCTTTCTGCTAGGCTAGCTATCCACAAACTCCCAGGATCCTCCATCTCTGCTTGGAAATGCTGGGGTTACAGGCATGTCTGGAAAGGTGGCTGCTAACAGGACAACGATTTAGTACTGGCATCCGAGGAATGAAAGAGCACACACACGGATAATGGCCAGAGGAACTGTTTGCTATGATTATGATACATCTAATAAACAGCTACCAGTTTTTTTTCTTCTTTTTCTACTAGAATGTCAACTTCCGTGAGATACCGAATTATGTTTTGTTCACTGCTGTGTCCCCTGCACTTGGGACAGAGCTGGCATTTGGTAGCCCTGCAGTGTTTGCTGAGTGACTGAATGAACTGCATGCACCTGCTTCCTCCATCTAAGCTTGGTGTTCCCTATCTCAATCTGTGCTACCCTCAGCTCTTGAATGACCTCCATGGGCACACCCAGCATCCTTGGCACCTATCCTATCTATCCCCCTATCTAGAGGCCTGGCTGCCTCTCATGCGAGATCACCCGGTGGCCTGGGCCTTCTGGTCACTGCTTGAGACAGCATTCTACTAGGACCACACGGGGTTTTCCTCAGAAGGTACAGATGACGTTCACTGAAGCTCTCACTGTAGCCAGAGTCCTAATTGGCATACACACATTGATCTTATGAGCTCCAAAAGACGGATGGACATTCGGGAATTCCCATGGGGACAGAATGTTCAGGCTCAAGGAACAATACACAAACCTGGTGGGGCTCCCAAGACACAGCTGGAGCTGGACAGTAAGAGCCAAGGAAGAGAGCCTGGCTCCATGTCTGTCCTGAGGAAAGACAAGAGCAGGCAAACTGTTGGACTGAGACACATAAACAGTCTGGGCCACCCCTCTACCATCTTTGCAGCCATTTTCCCAGGACCAAAGGAGGAAAGAAACTATGTGTAGTCCAGAGTCACCACAGCCATGAGCAGTTCATACTGACTGGGGGAGGTGTGGGGAGGGGGGCACAGGTGGTCGGGTCCCTGATGTTCACAGGACCAATAGGGGACGACAGGTGTCATGTTGAGGATCCACGGTCTATGGGGGGAAAGGTTTCATTCTCAAGAGGTCTGAGCTATGGCCTACTGTGCTGGAACCCAGGAAATTCCATTTTCCCTGGTGTATACACAGAGAGGAAAAGTTCCCTTGTGTCTGTAAACAGGATCCCAGGGAAGTATTTCCCCAGGAATGGAACTGTGACCCCTGCCCCTAACATATATGGAAGGCCTAATCCCTTGGGTAAATATTTAGGAGAGGACCTTTAAAGGGATAGCTAAGGTTAAGTCAGGTCCTAAGGATGGCACTCTAATCCACCTGGACTGAGGTGTAGACATGGAAGAGACACTGGGGTGCTCACACAGAGAGAAGGACATCTCAAGATACACGGGGAAGATGGTCATTTGCAGCCTAGGGGAGGGTCCTCGGAAGACAGGAAATGTGCCCACATCCTGACCTTGGACTGTAAGCCTCCAGAACTGTGAGGAAACAAATTTCTGCTAAGCAAGACAGAAATGGCTTGTAGCATTTTGTTATAGTGGTCCTAATATAACAGGGAAAATTATTTATTTATTTATTTATTTATTTATTTATTTATTTATTTATTTATTGCACACAGGCATTGTAACATACAACAGAGTTGCTCATTGCTGCCAACCACCTCCTGTGTGGTTGGCATCATAAGCCAGGGTGATGTTTCCAGTGATCAGAGGAGCAGCTGACAGGCAGCCCTGAGCTAATGTCAAAATCAGCAAGCAATTCTTGTGGCTTAATTCTTGTTGTTGACTGTGTGAATGAACAAACAAATGAACAAATGAATGAGCAGCCAAAGAGGTGTGTCGGGACTAGGTGCAAGTTCATCAACTCGAGACTCTGCTTGTGCCACCCAAGTAGTGTGCACACGCATGGCCACTACGTCACAGATACTAACTTGTTAATAAGTTATACACATACACGATTGCTGTGAGTCTATTGGTGTCAACATTTTACTATTTCCAGTAGGGGTGTGAATACCTTAATACCATCAGTTCTTCTCTTAGAAAATACAAGAACAGGAAGGAAGCAAGAGGGGAAGGGGTGAGGGAGGAGGGTGGGAGGCAAAAGGGTGGTGGGGAGGAAGGAAGGAGGGAAAGACAGGATGAAGGACGAAGTACGGAAGAGGGAAGGATGGGATAGGAATGGAGAGCAACAAGCAAGAAAAAGAATAAATAACAGTAACACTGCTTTCAGCATACAATAATTAACATCCACAAAGACAGTTTCTACATTTAAGGTTTTTTTGTTTGTTTGCCCTAAGGGAGGCTTTTTATTATTACCTTTTTTAAAACAAGGTCTCCCTATGTAGCCCAGGGTGGCCCAGAAAGCACCATTCTCCTGCCTCAGCCTCTCAGGTGCTAGGACACCCAGCACGCAGCTGTGTCTTCTCACTCAGGGTCCCATAGCCTCCTCACACTTCAGAGCACCTGCTATAACCCCATATCATAAGGACACAGAGAAACATCTGTAGGGTCTGGCCAGGGTATGTACCTGTAGCCCCGCCTTAATCAGGAGACAGAATGGGATAGCCTGAGCCTAGCCTGGGCAACATAGTGGAAGTTCATCTTAGGAAATATCAAATTACACTTACAGAAAAAAAAAAAAAAAGAACTATGTGAATCTCCAGGAAGGGAAGTGCCTGCCCAACACATTTTACCTGGGCCAGTGACTCCATCAGGTTCCGCACGACCTTGTCCTGGTCTTCTGTCAGGATCCTGTGGAGGGTAGCCCGCCTTTCGCTATCCTTTCTCAGCATAAAGAAGCCAGAGTCTTTCTCCTCAGGGGAAGGGGGCGCACTGTGATCTTCAAAGTTTTCATCTGGAATGCTGTAATAATGGGAGCAGCGTAAGCCAGGGTTTCCTTCCTAAAGTCACACACTTCACAGGGCACCTCACCACAAATAAGTCAGCTCTTTACCCCAAGAAGAGTGTCCGTATCCCCTTCCCATCCTTTTCTCCGCAGGACTTGGCTCTGGTTTTGAATGAGAAGGGGTCCACCTTCAGCTCCGTGTCAGGAGAAACAGAGCCATACTCGCTGCTGCTGCTGGTGTCTTCCACCAGAACAGGGACCGGCAGGGAGATACTTCTGAGATATTCTGTTATAGCAGAAGGGAGAGAAGGTAGCAAATGCTTTAAAAACGTCACACATACTGGCAGGTCTGTAAAAGAGACCACATCCTTTATCATGGTATCGAGTGGATGAGTCATGCCATAGAAGAAGCTGGTCATGTGATCATGGTCCCTGCCATGCTCAGTATAACATAGGATAAGGGTTCAGCCAGGATAGGGCCTCTTGAACCCTGAAAGGAATGTCTCCTGGGGTGGAAAAACCAGGCGGCAGGCTCAGCATGTCTTGGGTTCTAATCCTAATTTAGTGGACCACTTACATTGATATTTTATGTCTCAGTGCCCACAACTAGAAACAGGATGAGATGTACAATTTTAAGCTATATCTTCACAGGTGTGCAGGTTTGCCTTAGCATCTGTGGCTGCTTTGGAAGTGGGAAGGGATAGGATGCTATGGTCTAAGCAACAGGTTCCAAGCCTGCTTCACCTAAGACAAATCTGCTGATGGCCACATGCCATGGCAGCTCGAGGAGGCACATGAAAAGCATTCGTTGCTAACACAACTTGGAAACCAAGGGACCAAGTGACCTCTAAGGCCATTCCTGGGTGCCAGACCCCAAACCCATGGCCAACCTGGACTTTATTTTTGATGGAGACTAAGCGCAATCGGAGCTCCCCACATTTCATCCCACACTGGTTTTAAAGCAGTAATTTTTGCCAGAAACATCTTTAATGTCTTAACAGTACAAACATCTCTTACTAAAACAGGCAAGTGTAACATTATAAAAAGAATCTGTGGTTGCTTGGAAACCTCTTTTTACTTAATTTCTCTTAAGCTGGGTTAGGCTGAGATCACCCAAGTCTTAAAGGTTTGGTGGGTCAGCAGTGGTCCCCGCCCACTGCAGTAGGTGATCAGTCAGCAGTGGTCCCCTCCCACTGCAGTAGGTGATCAGTCAGCAGTGGTCCCCTCCCACTGCAGTAGGTGATCAGTCAGCAGTGGTCCTCTCCAACTGTTTAACACTGTGCAAGTCAGCATCATTAAGAGGGATGCTGGCTATGGACCACCACACAGACACACACATTTGTGATCCCTAACTCTTCTCTCTGGCTCACAAGCATCTGAAAGCCAGAAAATTGGCCTAGTTTCCTCTCTCTTGTTATGGGAAAAAAATCCTGGCAAAGTCAGCCTAGGTGAGGAAGGGTTTATCTTAATTCAGAATTCGAGGTTAAAATCCATCACTTCAGGGAAGCCAAGGTTGTCCAGGACCCAGACCCAGGGAATGATGCTCATAATGGGTGGGTCTTCACACCTCAGTTATCTCTGTCAAGACAGTCTCCTGCAGATGTGCCCAAGGGCCAACTGATCTAGACAAATCCTCTGTCTAGATCATGTTGAGTTGACAATTAAATCAACGGACATTCTATTCTGCCTGCAGCTTCTCCAGTCACTTTTAGAATCTGGACTTTAACATAGGCATGTATGGCATGTATGTGTATGTACCTCTGTGTGTGTGTGTGTGTGTGTGTGTGTGTGTGTGTGTGTGTGTGTGTGTGAGAGAGAGAGAGAGAGAGAGAGAAAGAGAGAGAGAGAGAGAGAGAGAGAGAGAGAATGTATGTTGTACATATAACTGAAAGAAAATATACAAAACTATGCCATAGTGCTAATGGTGATTCTTTCTAGAAGATACTATTTAACGTGAAACATTTTCCAAATTTTCTACAATAAACACAATAAACAAGTATTCTGTACGTGCATGAAGGTGTATGTGTATTTGCAGATGTGAATACATGTGTGTTTGTGCATTATGTGTATGTCTCAAAGGACAAACTCCAGTATTGTTTCTCATGCAGTGTTTACACACACGCACACATGCATGTATGCACACACACCCTTTAAACACAGGGTCTCTCACTGGCCTGGAACTCATCCAGTAGGCCAAGCTGGCTTGTCATCGAGCTCCATGGATCCTCCTGTCCCTGCCTCTCCAGTGCACAAGTGTGCAGTGCTATGCCTGACATTTTTTTTTTAACGTAAATTTTGGGGGATCAAACCCAGATTGCCAGACACTATACCGACTGAGCTGTCTCCTCAGACCATGTCAAGGTTGGCTTCAGCTGTCAACTTGACACAAACCTAAAGTGACCTGACAGGAAGGAACCTCGGCTGAAGAAATACTTAAATCACATTGGCCTAGACCCACATCTACGAAGCATATTCTTAATTGCGATCGAGGTGGGAGGACCCAGCCCATTGCAGAGTACCATCCCCAGGCAGGCAAGGGAACTGCGTAAGCCAGTAAGCGTCATTCCTCTATGGTCTCTGCTTCAGTTCCTGCCTTGGCTTCCCTCTGTGATGGATTGTCACTAGCAGTACACATAAACTCTTTCCCAGTTGGTTTTGGCGTTTACCATAGCAACAGAAATTGAAGTAGAAAAGCCCATGGATATTTTTATGGTCAGAAAAAGGTTATGAAAATAGTTTCCACAAGCAGATATTCAGCAGGTAGCAAAAGAGCTTTGGTAGGAACTTGATTGTGCTAGGTACTGATGGCACATACTGTAATCTCAGCACTTGGGATACTGAGGCAGGAGGATGCCAAGTTCTGGCCAGCTTGGGCAGGTATAAACTTTATAAATCAGCAAGACTCTATTCTTCCCCAATAAAGAAGAAACCAGCACTGTGATGACTTGTATTTCAAAACAGAACTGATGTCTCAGGAATAAACAGATTAATACTGTTTGCACTACCAGGTAAGGCATTCCTGTCCTGTGTTTCTATAAATGTACTTGTGTGATGCGTGTGGGTATCTATAGAGAGGGAACAAGGCCTTAAGTTGTCCACTTTTTACCTCTCTGGTCTTATCATGCAGTTTAAGTAGCCAGCAATGAGACAGCCTGTGTCCTGTGAATGTTAAGGTTGCTATGGATACTGATTACCTAAAATGATACCTAATGGGGTAAAAGTGTACATGTTTAACTGGTAGAACCCAGGGCTTGCCATTTATTTTGGGATGAAAAAGACTTCTTTGGACCCCATGCACAGTTTTGGTTCATCCTCAGCCTGATGGGCAATCAAACCATGAACCTGGTTCTAAATTGCTTCTCTTGTTAAGCCCGACCTCATCATAGACTATCTTCTGGCTAGCCAACAGCATGTACTGACAGACTGAAGAAGGGGATGTTAAGATGAGAAATCAAAATGCTCCCGAGGTTTCTGTCCTTCCACACTGAATGGATCTATATGGTTCTGAGGGTACAGGCTTCCTGAAAGGGAAGTGTCCGTGCTCTAGACAGAAACAGGTATTTGGTCTATAAAATACACTTGAGGAAAGAGGTATCCTGCTGTTTATCATTTAGAAACCCAGGTCATGGTCATAAATTTATTGACAGGAGGCATAAAGGTCACAGGAACTCTAGAGAATAATGAGATGGTACCGTTGCTCCTGGTTTAGGTTAGCACATGTATCTTGCTTACTGAGGAGGAGAGGGAAGTGTTTGTGAGTGTTGGCATCTATACAGATGAGAGCCTCAACAGTCTCCTAGCGGATTGAGGGGAAGCCCCTTCCTTTGAGATCCACAACCTTGCTCAGGGAAATGGGGCAAATATTCTCTGGAAGGGAGAGCTCAGAGAATTCAGTTCTGAGGAGGTTCTAACCGGAGAATCAGGGGGGCCCTGAGGGAAAGAGCAGGAGGCCTGCCGGCTGTGGGTCACCATTCTCAACAAGTCACTGTCAGGAAGGGGCTGAGCACAGGAGGCACGCAAAGGAAAGCAGCAGTAAGAGCCATCACAGCTACCTTTAAATTACTTGCATTTGTCACACATGGTCTCATCTCATTCTCACTACCCCAGGAGCAGGTGTCTAGTGGCCTCCACTGGAGAGTAAGTCATGTCTAAGGTGAGTAAGTCACATCAACAAGGGAACCCAGCTCTGACCCCAACACTCACCCACTGACTCTAAAAATCCTAAAGATTTATAATATCTTAATTAGAGTTAGACTATGAAGCTAGGGGAGACTCTAAATTCCTGCAGAATTATGCTGAATGCAGAGAAAGAGGACACAGGAGCCACAGTTGACCAACAGAGACAACCTTACATTGATTGCCACGCTGAGGTGAGGCGCATGCGCACTGAGAAGACTGGGTAGCCGTACAGCTTGCTAAGTGAGCGCAGTTAACTTTATGGCAGTTAACGTAAGTGTGATTGTGTGAGGGGAATGCTTCCTGTGAATGAAAACCATGGAACATGGAAAGAACCAAATAATGACAGACTGGGTGGCCGGGCACAGCTCTAAGACTCTTCCAGGACCTTATTTTAGTCTCTGAATCAAATCTGGGAAATAGGTATCATTATGAGCACAGAGTGACAAGCTAAAATAAGCAAGCTTTTGCATACCATATATGAAAAAAACCATAAACAAAACAAAAAAACCTGACTTCTGTGCAGAGCAGGCTGCTCAGAAAGCCAGCAGTGTTGCAGGGTCTACCTTGTGAAAATGCAAGGGCTGCTTTCTACATTCCAGCATGCCAGTGGAGAAAGGAAGTATGGACATAAGTCTGTCTCTCTGCATCTGAGAGCCTACCCCCAACTCAGAATTGCAGAAGGAAAACTGGAGTGACTGTGCCAGGGAAAGCCTGACGAATGAGCCTCTGCTCTAGGCTTTGAGGCACCCGAACAAGCTGCAAAGACACCACCGGTGCTAACCTCCTGACACAATGGACATTGAAACCACTTGTACTTACGTCAACCACTCATCCACAGCCACACCCCTTCCTTTAATTTTCTTTGCAACGCTTTGGCTAACTTGAGAGCAAACTCAAGCTCTCGGTTCTGATTTGCAAAAGCTGACCCAAGGAAACAAAACTACAGCTCCTGGCCCACTAGAGTCCATGTACTGTCCTAAGATGCTAGAAGAAGGTATATGATATTGACACTTCCCAAGAAGCCACAAGTAGCCAACTGAAAAGAAGACATAGACTTCACCCCAACTGATGACTTCAAAACCAGTCACAACCCTGCACCCAGGACAGTAATTCAGGTCTCCTTTAAGGAGGCGGGGTGATTCTGCAGCAGGAGCTGATCAGCCTCCCAAGTCAGAGAAGGGGGTGGGGCCTGCCATGGCAAGTATGGAGCCTACTGCAATTTGCCAATTCTCAGCCCAGTGGGCAATGTAAAGCCAACTCACCATTCGATCCAGTCGAGAGAGCTGCGGAAAGACAAAAAGTGAACAGCGTAAGCACACATGGCCTTGTTGTCAAACTGGGAAAGTCAACAAAAAGCGAGTGCTTGAAATGGGATCAATGTCCTCTCCAAATATTCATCTGTCTGTCCTTATCCAGTACAAACACCCAAAAGCCAAGGACAAATTGTTCCTTTACCTTACATTTCTTATTGAAATGAATTACGGAATTACTGACAAAAATTCACTTATAATTTATACTTATGTTTTAATTATTGCTGGCAACCAGCCTACTTATCTTCCTTTATCCTTTCTTTCCTTCCATTTTTGGTAATTATTCAGAAATATGTTTTCTGAGAGGTGGCAGGTATTTTCTGCTGCCTACAATTAAAAGGTCATATTACCCAGACATTTGGAAATTTAACAGTTCTGTTACAGCCTCTAGCCCACTAGTGGCAACATGGAGTTGTAAAGGACTCCGTTTTCACACTGTGAAATTCCCAATACTAGAATGTACTAGAGACTGGCACAGTAACGATCATCTATGCATGAAGGAAAATCATTATGTACGAGGTCCCAGCATTTGTGAAAATGATAGTAACAGGATTTCCTGATACAGAACCAATTGCCCAAGAACAGTATGCTGTTTATACCAATTTCCAGCGATACTGGAAACAGATGTTTACTTATGGAGACACTTTTCCTTTTAAAAAGCTTAAGCTTTAGAGACCATTCTCCTCTTGTAATCACATACCTGAAAGCTTGGGCTGTGTCTTTTTCTTTTTGCTGGACACTTTTAAGAACTCGTCGATAAGCAAGTCATTAGCACAGGCTCTTTTGTCAGGGTCTGGTTCAAAACACTTCAGGATGAACGCCTTGGCCTCAGCAGACATGGACTCTGGGATCTCTGGGTGGACCTTAAACATCCCCACCTGAAGCAGATTCAAGAGCAGAATGAGTCCCCTGATCATTCTCTCTCTCTCCCCCTGTCTGCCCTCTCCTGTCCCTTTTTCTTTCTCTGCTCCAGGGTGCCATGGTTTAAACCCCAGGCTTCATGCATCTTGTGTCCTGGCACTGAGCTCTATTCCCAATCTGCCTGTGTATTTTCTCCAGGTGACTTGCACTTTCTGTAGATTACAGGAAGCCAACAGAGAACTTTTGTAATATTTTGAAGGATGTAGGGAGAGTAACTAGCTTAAGACATTCACATTACAAAGTGATAAGACAGTCCTTCAAAGCCTGAGAACTCATTCAAAAAAAAAAAAAAAAAAAAAAAAAGTATTTTGTTGCCATTACTGAGTTTCTCAGAATAGCTATATGCCAGATCTCACTGAATCCTCTCAACACTTTGGCAAATTAAATACTGCCTCTCTGACACCGATGAGGAAAATAAGGCTTCAGAGAGATGAGGTTGTGTCTTGATTTGTTTTGCTTAAAGCCCATGTTCTTTCCCCTATTGCATAACTTGTATTTCCCCATCTCAAATCAACAGCGTTAAGAAATATTTAAAAGCACGTTGAGAGTAAAACATACTTCATATCACAGTTAGAATCAACTTCTTACTATTAGTATTCAAAAAAATTTAAAGGAGCAAGTGAGATGGCTCATTTAAACATGCTTATCAAGCAAGCCTAAGGACCTGAGTTTCGATCCCTGGAACTCAAGGTGGATGGGAAGTTGTCCTCTGGCTTCCACAAGCATGCGTTGAGTGTCCACACACACACACACACACACACACACACACACACACACACACACACACACACGCACATACTAAAATGTAAAGATGTTTTCATATAATTTTGATACATAAAAATATATTCCTTTTTATTTTCTTTTTTGGTTTTTTGAGACAGGGTTTCTTTGTGCAGCCATGGCTGTCCTGGAACTCACAGAGATCCACCTGCCTCTACCTCCTGAGTGTTGGGATTAAAGGTGTTCACCAATACTGCCCAGTTTATAAATGTATTCTTATAAATAACCATACAGCCTTTATTCTATGTTAAAAATAATTCTAGGTGCTTTGCATAGATTATATCTCATATTCCTCCAAAAATTCAGGTGAGAGATAGTCTTTTTTTTTTCTCAAGACAGGGTTTCTTTGTGTAGCTTTGGAGCCTATCCTGGCACTCGTTCTGGAGAGCAGGCTGGCCTTGAAATCACAGAGATCCGCCTGCCTCTGCCTCCCGAGTGCTGGGATTAAAGGCGTGCACCACCAACGCCTGGCGAGAGAGAGTCTTTTTCTACCCATTCTTTACCTATTGAGGATAAGAAGGTTAAATAACTTGTCCAATGTTCCAAATACCCTGAGCATGTTGAAGCCTGTATCAGAACATGTCCAATCAGCGTCAGGGGCTATATGATCTAGCCTGAGACAGTATCGCTTCCCATGAACATGCCAGGCTTCCTTTCAGTGACAGAGGTGTGCTAAACTGTTTCATAATAACCACTGCACTATGGATGATGAAGCAACATTTCTTCTCCAAACTCAGGGAAGTCCTAGAGAACGCCAAGCGAAAAGAAAGAAACACTTGTGTCTTCACACAAGGTTTGGTCAGCATTCCGGGATTTTGATTTTTGTTTGTTTTGTTTGTCCTTCAGTGCTCACGATGGAGTTTAGAGCCAGGGATAGAACTCAGAGCCTCCCACGTGCATTCTTCATGTTCATATCAACGGTGTTCTATCAGCTTTCAGCAAGCTTCAGATAGATTCCACTGCACAAACGTGGAAGGTATATAACAATCACAGGGCCCCCTGCAAAGAGCCACACGCTGATGGAGTGAGAGCTGAGCTGTGGTTGGCGGGCAACAGGCGGACGATAAGGGATGCTCAGAAGTCTCTGCTACAGAGCAGGCATAGACCTTCGCTTCCAGAGAAACAGGCAGCCTGGCTAGGGAGGACTGCAGGGTCTCAGGCATAGCACTGCTTTGTCTAGACCTCAGATTTCCAAATCTCAGAACCATTTCTATACCCCTGCCGTCTACACTGGGGTGGGGTGTGCTCTCACTTCCTAGAACTACTCATTGGTAAACACACTAAAAGAACAGACATGTGAAAGTAAGGTTGATTTACTTAAGACAGTAATTATGACCTTTATAAAAGTGGATTCTTCAAACACTTGCAGTAGAGAATTAAGGGAAATAATTAGATTTAATTTCTAAATAGATTTAAATGTTTTGTGAATTTTTGTGCATGTGTATGTGCGTGTGCTTGTGTGTGCGCGTGAACGTGCATGCGCACACATGGGATGCTCGGAAAGGGTTATGCCACTGTGAAAGATTCCCAGCCCCCCAGTGTTCTTATATTTTTCCTACATGGAAGATATTCACACTATTTCCCAAGGAGTTTAGAGTCCTGTGTCACTTATACTGTGCTGTAAAAGGTTACACTGAGTTTAGAACTGAGAAAACCAAGACTGTGCAAGGCACAGGTGTGGAGTGCAGAGTGGGAAGAGCAGGTTTCCCTGAACTTGAATAGATCTCCTCAGGCTTCCTTCCTAGTAGACTCTGACATTCATACACACACAGAACATCCATACAAATCTTTATCTATGATGTGTGACCTTGAACATGGCTGCTTGTGGCTCTCCTAGTTCGTAAAATGGTGGTTTTCCAGTGGCCATTTCAATGATTGTGCAGCCCAAAGACCAAATGTCTGCAGCCTTTCCATAGCCTCGAGGTCCTTTATCGATTATTTCTGGTGCCATATACTGCAGGGTGCCTGAAAATAATGCAAACATATCTCCACTTTAGAAAGGGAAAGAATGACACCTAGTGACCATTTCAATTTTTCTACATAAATACAACAGTTAAAAAATATGATCCCAGTCTTGATGTCTCATCTTTCCTTGAGATCCATTTTTCTCTGCAGTTAAGGAAAGTAGAAACAAGTGTTCATAATGGATTTTTACCAGTGAAACAATAGCATCTGGCTATGAGTTGGGGTGCTCTTACTCCTAAAGTGATACATGGCTGATACACCCCTCTAAGGGATGTGGTAGAGACTTCTGACCATAGTTGAACAATAAAGAATACAACAATTTACATATTTCTGCATTCAGTTATTTCCATAGATGAAGGCTCCTATTATGTGAACTTTTCCAGAGAACATCTAGTTCACTTACTCACATATAGTCCCCAATTTTTGAACCCAGTATTCGACTCATGTTCCCATTTTGGAGATTGCTATGGTAAGTGGAATAAGCCAGGACAATGACATACCCCAGTCTCATCAAAGCTGAAGAGTGGTTATTAGGAGCTGGAGAAAGTACAGAGGTGAAAGGGATGGGTGACAGCAGCCAGTCAGCACTAAGTTATAATCCAGAGGAAAAACGTTCTGGTTTCTATTTGTAGCAAAGTGACAGGAGTTAGCAATAATGTGCTTTTTATTAACAACAACAACAACAACAACAACAACAACAACAACACAAAACTAGAAAGGGGACCCACACTTTCACACTAAGAAATGTTTAGATGTTTGGGGAGACAGATGTGCTACATCAAAAGCAATCTTTGCATATTTTCAAACATCACATGGCCCCCAGTAATCGCACAGTTCTTCATGTTTTAAGGAAAAAAAAAGCCATAAAGACAGGGATATGGCTCAGTGCTTACTTAGCATATGTGTGAGCCTTAGACAAAAAAATAACAAGAAAAGGAGATCATTCTTATTTCTAAATTATGACAGCACCAAGATTCTGAGAGCTACGATGAAAAAAATCCAAAAAACGTATGGAGTACATGATTCTGTATATCACATAGATATACTTTCTGTCATGGATCTTGGTGACAGATTTTAATACAATGATTTTCAGCCCGTGGGTCGTGACCCCTTTGTGAGTTGAATGACCCTTTCACAGAGGTCCCATATCAAATAGCCCACATTGCAGATATTTATATTAGGATTCATAACAGTAACAAAATTAGTTTTCAAGGAGCTTCGAAAATAATTTTATGGTTGGGAGGGGGTCACTGCAACATGAGGAGCTGTATTAAAGAGTTGCAGCATTAGAAAAGTTGAGAACTGTTACGTTTCAAACCCAGGACAAATGGCTGAGATACCTATTTAACATAGCGAAGTGGACCTGGCCTCCAAGTTCTTCCAGCATCCCTTGGTCCCTACCTGTTACCAGGTCTGGCTGGCATACCTCACCCTCAACCCCAAACTCTCCAGGCCAGGGGCTGGGCTGCCCTTCCCCCAGAGGCTCTCCCTATATAATCCAGACATTTTGGTTAACCACCCCTTTTGTACCTTTGGCCTCCAGGCTGCTGCACCTGGTTTCCTCCCTTCCGTCTCCCATCTCCCCCACATGGCCCAGCTCAGTCTGGTCATGCTCACTCTGGACTCTCCAGATGTCCCTGCCTCTACCTATGTACTCCCTTTTATCTACAATACACTTTCTCCGCCACATTCCCTAGGAGCAGTCATGGCCTTTCCTTTCCTTTTGATGCCATTTATTCATTCAAGAACTACTGTTTTGCCTGGTAGTGGTGGTGGTGCACGCCCTTAATCCTAGCACTTGGGAGGCAGAGGCAGGTGATCTGTGAGTTCTAGGCCAGCCTGATCTACAGAGTGAGTTCCAGGACAGGCGTCAAAGCAATACAGAGAAACCCTGGC